AGACTCGGTTTCTCCAGCCTATCTAACGAAACATTGTGGAGCAGAGGATGGTTTGAAAAAGTTTTTAATCTGTGCCAACTCGTGTCATGCGTAGTCCGGTCAATGGATTCACATATTGATCAATAATATAAAATATACACGTGTGTGATTATAATTAATAGCTAGAACATGATAAAATGCAATAGAGGTGTGACGTGCAGTCAGTTTCTTTCTGGTGTTGAGGTTATTCTAGACTATTCTACTGAATCTCAAATAAGTGTTACATCTTGGATCTTTAAGCAGATAAACATCAACTTTTAATTTTTGGGTGAACTATCCCTTTAAACACACATTATTTGACTCTGAGAGTTCAGCCTGATAAACTAACCAGCAGAGAAAATGTCCACAAACTTTTGAGTTGAACCCTAGTTCTACATTTGGCAGCATTTTACCATTTATTCCACAGATTTAAGGACTCAAATTGATATTTAACCCAAAAGGATCATTCTGTCATCATTTACTCTCCCTTATGGCATTCCAAACCTGTATTCTTTCTAAACATTTGGAAACAAACAAACAACATTGGAACCCATTGACTTTTATTGTACGGACAAAAAAACTCTTAAAATATCATCTTCTGTGTTCCAAATTAGAAAGAAAGTCTTAAGGTTTGAACAACTTGAGTAAATGATGACAATGATATTGTTTCTGTGAACTATGTTTAATTAAATTTTTTCATTACTCCTCAGGTGTGTGGTGTTTAGGGTAATGGAAGAACCAACGACTTCAGTAAACGAACATGAACATCATCAGATGTTTACAGGGCTCTTGCTGATGGGTAAAACCTCTTTATGCTTTATTATTTGATATTTGTCATGTGTCTCTGTCTTTACTCGTATGTGTTACTTGCGTATCATTGCAGCTTTTGAGTCCAAGACAAATTGCCTTGGAAAAAGGAAACGTTTTAGACAGAACATAGTTCAAAGCTCTCAAAAAAGAGACACAAATTACATCACATATACTGATTCATCCAAATTAATTTTGTAATATTAGAAATAATTAAAATTGAGTAAACTATGCATACTTTGTGCCATATTTTGACTCATAAACGTGAATGCTCCCACACATTCTACTCTTACCTGTTGGCTCTGTTGGTTCCCATGCTGTATTTGATCTTCAGCGTGTGTGTGTGTGTGTGCGCGCGCTGCGTTCTTCAGTGACACGATGGAACAGTGTTCTCCGTTTACCCGGAAAGATTGGGTATCGGCATCCTGACACACCTGGATCTACTGTATGTCACACACTGCAGACAGAGAAACAGAGACGCATCAGCCGTGATGTGATGCTGAAAGTTCAGGCTGATGTGATGTGGACACAAACTATATTTGTGTTCTGGTTTGGATGCTGTGATCTGGGTCAAAGCAGCTGTTAAAATAGCCCTCACACACTAACACACACACTCACACACTAAGATGTAGGCTAACAACCATCACTGATTTGCATGTTCTCTAAATGTCCAGCTCTATATTTAAACTTATATTTTTAGATTAAAATGTTTATAACATTTGTTAGATATACAATAGCGCCAAAGAGTATTTAAACATTTAATTTGAATGTCTGTACATTTAAATGACAGAATATGTGGCATTTATTAATAGAAAAGTATAAAAATATATTACAATATAGATATTTTCTGAATAGAATTACTTAATTTTATTTAAAAGATATTTGAATAAAAATACTTACGTTTGTGTAATCTGTGCAGTGGTTGTTAACTAATCTGGATGGCAAATTATTTTAATTTGTGGTTTTAGTGTGTCATTGCAATTTTAGTGCTGCGTGTTTTATGTGTGTCTTATTGTCTATGGAATATGAAATACATTCTAAAAAGTAATTTAGGGGCTCTATTACTGCAACTTAATAAATTACATTTATTTAATCTTCCCGTCATGCATTTAATTAAAATGTAAGTTGCAAACATTATTTTGATGAGTTCTGTTGACATAATGTTGATCATTACATTAACTTAATATTGTGTGTAAAGTTAATCTGAAATGTCTGTATTTAAAAGTACATTTCAGTTTGCATTGGACTGGATAAGGAGATTAAATGTTAAAATTAACTTTTATTTAATGTGTTTTAGTGAAGGGAAAGACGTGTTAGTATTTAATGCTGTTATGTTTAACATTTAAAAGAGTTTCTGTAAGGTTGGGTTACATTTTACCATTGTGTTGAAGGTTAGAGCTAATGTGACAAGTAATAACTTACTTACTAGTCAAATTTACATGCTAAAATTTGGCATGTGCTATATATATATTAGGCGTTGATTTGAACTGAAATATACCCGATTAATTGGTTCCAAGGCCAACAGTTAATTTATGAGTGAATTAGGTTGAATCAATTGGTAGCAACTTTATTTTGAATAATCAACTTAAAAATGTGTTTATGCTCAAAATAAAGTGTAGTTCGTTGGTTAAACATAATTTCGTTAAAGCTATCATAGCTCAAAAAGATGTTAGGCTCTTCCCATTTTTAGAGTGTACTTATACATTTTGTAGGTTGCGTGTTTATTGTGTATTTTATATTGTGTTTACTGTCATTTCATGACACTGTAAATGTTAGTGAAGTGATCTGATTATGTCTGAAGGGCAGTTTTCTGTGTTTCATGATCATGGTCTCATTACAGACATCAATCACACACACACACCTCCTCTAAGCTACTGTTTGAAAAGATTAGTATGTCTTGTGATGAACAGTCAATTTAAATGACATATTAAATAGTTTGAGGAGAGAGTGGGTTTGTTGAAGATGCAGACGTCAACAGTACAGATGCATGTGACTCAATAACTGCTCTTTACAATCAAAATGGATTTAAACTTTGTTACACAACATGAACACACACACTTAATCCCTGATTGTGTGTGTGTGTGTGTGTGTGTGTGTGTGTGTAGAAGACATTTCTTTCTTAATTCCTAATCCAATGATATCTGAATAATCTCTTCATCTCTCATTTTTAACAGTGATATGAAGCAGATCCAGAGAAATGAGCCCTGAGGATCCTGTGCTGTAATCTGAGACGTCCGTCCGTCTGTCCATGTGTGTTTGTGTGTGTGGGATTAATATGACAACAGCACGCACACATACACACACAATGACAGAAGGTGAGTTCAGACTCGAGCAGATTTAATCTGATATATTTATTATTCTTTAGATAAATGATGAAGCTCTTAAGGTGCTTCACTAAGAATATGTCCGAAGAACTTGAAGAAATCACAATTTTGTGCATAGTTTCAATTTCTCATACACGTTTCCTCATATCTGACGTCATTCATTAGATCAAGTGTCTGTATCTCAAAGACTGCAGGATCTTTGTCTTCAGTAACAGCTGGTGTTTTGTTGACGTTTACATTTCTGCACTTGGCAGACACTTTTATCCAAAAGTGACTTACATTGCTTTCAAGGTATGCATTTAATCAGTTCATCTGGAACTGAACCCATGACCTTGTTGGTGCCACAATCCATTGTTTGTAGTTCCACACATTAAATCACATTAACATAATCCACTAATGACAATACCTTTGTTAACTTAAACATATATTGTTATAGCATTTCAAACCAACCTTCTTACTATATATTTAGTTTTTACATGTTTCTTTAAAATAAATGATAGGCTACTAATGACGCAAGTGTGATTTTGATATTCAGATACTTTTTCTGGCCATTGTAGTTTGGTACATTGTCATTGTGTGCTTTGGGCGAGTCTATAGACTTTGTGCACCCAATTTTGACAGTTTGAACCAAATTTGTACTCTTTCTTAATTTGCAGAAAAGTGCTGTGCTTGTTAATTGATTATATCACAAAAATAGTCATACTTTGACATATAGCCAACCATGGTACTGCATAATTACCATATTTATATAACGCAGTATTTTCCTGGCACTGTAGCCTATGTAAATGGTACGGTATTAAGTGTGTCCAAACTACAACTACAGTTAAACCGTGGTACGTTTCTGTAAGTGTGGAAACACTTTGTTTTTGTCAGTGCATTAAGCTCTTATTGATCAGGGGAATCAAATGAAGTCACGCGGCAGATTCTCCGGCACATTAAGCGCTTTCCACTGGAAACTGGCCGAGACAGGCGCCCGCGCTGCAAACGAACCGCGCCACAGAACTCCAGTTTCCCGCGCTAGCAGTTTAAACAGCTTTTTCGGTTATTACTAGAGTGTTCTGTAGCAAACGGGGTATAACACTCATCAGAAAACGTATAATTACTTCGAACTGACCGCAGGGGTTTCATCATGCGGCAGATGTTCGCCTCAAATCTGCGGGATTGAGACTGTGACATAAAGTATGACGCGCAGGTACGTTTCCGCGCGCGCGGTAAATCCGGTAAAGCCCCAGATGCGGCGCGCGACCAGTGCGTGATCTCAAACAAGAGAATAATCTCTTTTCATTACAACATCAAAGTTCATTCTCTCTGTTTCAGCCGCATTTATCCGCACCTCATCTGCCCATCCGCAGTCGATTTGATATGTACGTCAGTCCTTTAAATATGCATATTGTCACATTATATCACAAATTAATGTTATAAATTATATCCTAGTTAATTTGAGAAATTTAAAACGGACATCAAGTGGGCTATAGCCTAATGTATAACATGAATTTGTGTGTCTACGACTCCTAATAGGACTAATAATAATAGCCATAATCAGCATGTAGTCTAGTCGTAAATTACTCCGATTATTTGACCATATAGTATAGGTCCTATTTTACACTATATGCAGCGACATTGTCATCCAAATGCCAGTGTAATAATTCCTCAGAAATGTTGTATGGAAATAAACTAGGATTAAAACTTTAACAGCGATTCAGAAATGTGTATAATCAGACAAACTTACTACACACATGAAGATATGAAGAATTGCTCACCTTATAAAAGCAAATATCTAATCTGTAAACGTTTCCCCCCCCCCCGTAAATGTGTCTTCTCCTCGCGGTCACTTGGTGTTTTGGCGGTAAGCGCACTCCGTTCGCTCGTCCTGTTTTCTTTCTCTCCCTCTTTTTTCCCTATTCTCCGAACACACCCATCATTATCACGACTTTACCGGCCGCGTGTTTTTGTAATTCATGTTTTCTTGTAGTTTTCGCAGGTTAATCTCCGCTTTGACTTCACTCACGCGGTAATCTCCTCCTCATCCCCGCGGTCCTCGCGCTCATGTGGGTGACCGGCGGATAACGGAGGAGGAGGAGGAGCACTAACAAAACTGTGGCAACAAAGATTGAAACAAAAGTCATGTATTTAAAATTGCATTTCCATCTCTGTTGCAACAGTTTTGGAAGTGTCTGAAATGACTGTGCCCATATGTACAAGTCATTTGTGTTTGGCGATGAGTTTTTGGCTCAAGGTCTGTATTTAAAGTCACAGCAGAGGTGTTCAGCTGGGATTGGGACTTGGCTTTGCAGACCAGTCAAGGTCTTCCACACTGACTGAATCAATCATTTCTTTTTGAACCTTGAATCATGAGGCATTGTCATGTTAGAATAGAAAAAGGTCCAGTCCAAACTGTTGCTTTACAATTAGGAGCACACAATTCCCTAGAATATCATATGATTTAACATTAAGATTTGTACTCATGGAAATTACTATTCTACTATATGCAAAAATGTATGTATGATTAAACATGTATATAGCCTATGCCAGGGGTAGGCAAGTTCGGTCCTAGAGAGCCGCAGTCCTGCAGAGTTCAGCTCCAACCCTAATCAAACACACCTGAACAAGCTAATCAATGTCTTCAGGATTATTAAGGCTATAGGCAGGTGAGCTTTTTTTCAGGGTTGGAGCTGAACTCTGCAGGACTGCGGCTCTCTAGGACCGAACTTGCCTACCCCTGGCTTATGCCAAAATGCATGCCGAGATATATGTTCAGCTAATTTTCGCGGTCCAAATGCGGTCAGTTTGATGGCCTAGAAATCCACACGATCGGGAATAGCATAAAGAGGAATTAAAATATGAAAGAGATAGATTCACCTCATAAACTAAACGATTAATGAATGAATTAATAAAATCCATATGTTTTGATATCCTATAGGTCTATAGCATCCCGCCCAAGCAGGAGAGACGCTCAGACAGACAGACAGACAGACAGGTGATCCTCTCTGACTCAAATGGGACGCGACCCAAAACCTCAATACCACACACACAGGGCCGATGGCGGCATGAGGTCAGTGGGTGAAGGACACAGGGGTCAGAAATAAACTTAATGCAGTTTCACTCAAATATGAGAGAGAAAACCGAAGATCAAAGGAAAGGCTTTTAGGCAGTTAGGCTACTGTTTCATCTTTAATCATTTTCGCATCTGTCAATCATTCCGTCATAAGTTCCGTTTGTGTCTTGAATATGAAGACAACCTTCAGATCACATCTGCTCCTCAAACATATCTTAAATTACCATGAGAAAGACGGTGACACAGCACAAGAGAAAAGAGTGATTGTTAGAGGCCAGACGTGTGTTGTGTGTGTGTATTAATAGCCTGTAATCGCCTCTGGGCGTCCTGATAAATTCCCACGACCTCTGATGGACACCATTGTCTCTCTCCGTCTCTCAGTTTTGCAGGTTTTTCTCTCCCATTATCAACTCTCAGTCTTTCTGAATCAAGAACACGCTCTCTCTCTCTTTCCCATGTTTTTTTTCTCTTTCCACTGGTTCAGTGTCGCTCGCGTTGTGGCCCTTCACGCATTCGTGTGGAAACTCTCGTTTTCTGCCGTTTTGCACACCGTGTTTCGCAGTTATGTAAGAAAAAACCTTTGCTAACTTCCTAATTTGAACGTGAATGGTTGACTGCTCCTCTGTCACACTGAGTTTACACGCAACACTCAATCCAACCCATTTAAATAGACCTGAATCGTTGAAAAATAACCCAATTCTGTGACAAACGCTGAGAGATCACAGATGAACAACACATATGCAGTGTCGCTAAATATGAAATAATACCCACCCTGCTGAAAAAAAACAAACAATAACCATCACATAATTTGTAATGGTTTTACTGGTTATAATGGGAATTGTACTGGTTTTAATGGAAACTGTAATGGTGCCTGTTGGTCTGTACTGGTAATTGGTTGCCTTCTATTGGTTGCTATAAAACCACTAGATCCTAATGTAATATGTCCCAAAATGCACTACAGGAAACAATTTTTTAATGGTTAAAAGCTGATGGTTTGTAATTTTTGTAAAGTTATTTGTAGTGCAAACCATTAGAATTTCTGTGATGCTTTCTATTGTTTTTTTTTTCTCCAGATTTTGGTTAATCCACTGTAGCTTTTCAGAATTATACCTTATTATCCTTAAAGTTTTACAATGTTTTTAGTTTTTATATGAACCACAAATCAATAAGTCATTGTTAAATAGCCTAACAGTAGGCCTATCTGTGTAGCCTATATGTGATTCTCTTCTTGTACGTTTGTCGAGTTTTATGTAATGTAAATGTATTATGTTATGTGGTTTTAATCTGTCATCAGTATTTGAGGGAGTTTTACTGTCCTCTAGAGGAAAATACTCTTACAGACACTCACAGAGTAGAAATACTTCTGTATTGCTTATTATTCATTTTGTTGCTCGTCTAATGTGTTATGTTTGTATTAAACTTGTTGATTGCTACATAATTTACTGTTGCACTTCTTAATTAGATCTCCAGTATTGCTATTAATTCTTCAGTATTGCTATATTTTGCCTATTCTTCTGAGCTTTTGTGATTTTACCTTACATGCCATATTTTGCATTTATCACATATGAACTGCAATTGCTTGACAATGCAAATCTACAACTTCAGTGAGGGAGAGAGAGATTTATAAGGTGTGATTTGAATGTAGCCAAAGCAGCGGATCTGTGCGGTATGTTTCACAGCAGTTTTCCATCTGAAGTCACTGAACGACGAGCTAAAATACACATACAAAGCCAGCTACATCATGATGAGCATCTGTCCAAACAAACAAGAAAATGTTTGCATCTGTTATTATGATAGAAATAGTAGTCTGACAAGCCAAGATATTACATAAAAAGTTTTGTTTTTTTTCCTATGTCAACAAATCCTTAATGATTCCAATAAGAAAATTGTTCTAATTAGAATTTCTATCATAACTTGG